ATGCCAACCGTTTTGTCTGTCACCATGGCTATTGGTTCCCACAGGCTTTCTCAACAAGGGGCTATCACAAAGAGAATGACAGCCATTGAGGAAATGGCAGGCATGGATGTTCTCTGCAGTGATAAGACTGGGACTCTGACTTTAAACAAACTTACTGTTGACAGAAATCTTATTGAAGTGTTTGCGAAGGGAGTCGAAAAAGAACATGTAATCCTTTATGCAGCAAGCGCTTCAAGGACTGAAAATCAGGATGCTATTGATGCTGCAATTGTAGGAATGCTTGCTGATCCAAAGGAGGTATTAATTTCTTCCCGGTCTTTCTTCTGTTATATTTAGGATTGGGTCCATGAATTCTTTAGTCATTCTTGATATTGATTGGCTAGGCACGTGCTGGTATCCAAGAGATTCATTTCCTACCATTCAACCCTGTAGACAAGAGAACTGCTCTAACGTACATCGATTCTGATGGAAACTGGCATCGCGCTAGCAAAGGTGCACCAGAGCAGGTAACAATACGTTTTCTCATTTTGGAAGATCAGTTGTGAAAGTTTTAGATAGATAACTTCTAAATTACATGCTTTCAATGTTCCGAAATAGATCATAACTCTTTGCAATTGCAAAGAAGATGTCAGGAAAAAGGTTCATGCAGTTATTGATAAATTTGCTGAACGTGGACTTCGATCTTTAGCCGTTGCAAGACAGGTCAGCAGATTAATTTTTTTGCATGCTTCATGTTGATTAGCTAAGCAAATTGGGGTAATCATATATTCATATTGTTTAATTTCTATTTCTGCAGGAAGTACCTGAGAAAACAAAAGAGAGTCGTGGAGCACCATGGCAGCTTATTGGTTTGTTGCCGCTGTTTGATCCTCCAAGGCACGATAGTGCTGAAACCATCAGAAGAGCTCTAAACCTTGGAGTGAATGTTAAGATGATTACCGGTAAGAGTTGTTTAAATAGCATTTTAACGTTCTATATTGTTTAAAGTTTCATGATGTAAAATTTATATTATTTTTCTATTATACCAGGGGATCAGCTTGCCATTGCCAAAGAAACTGGCAGGAGGCTCGGAATGGGAACAAACATGTACCCTTCATCTTCCTTGCTGGGCCAAGACAAGGATGCCACCATTGCTGCCCTACCAATAGATGAATTAATTGAGAAGGCTGATGGATTTGCAGGAGTATTTCCAGGTGTGTTTTAATTAGTTATAAAATGTCTTCCTAAATATGTGACATTCTGGAAATTATTAAAATCTATGTTTTAGCACGAACTTTCTTGACAATTAAGATGATGGCATCATCTATATTTTGACTTTTAAAGAAAAGAGTTCTGTGAAACACTGGCCGCTTGTTATCATGAACATTAGTTATTGAATTCCTGGCACCTTTGATATTTTTAAATCGCTTTTGATGCTGTTACTAAATTCCTTTGCTAGAGCGTCCTCCTACTTAAATTTTCATTTTTCCTAACAATCCTTCCAATGTCGATGATAGAACACAAATATGAAATTGTTATGAGGCTACAGGAGAGGAAACACATTTGTGGCATGACAGGAGATGGTGTCAACGATGCCCCTGCTTTAAAGAAGGCAGACATTGGAATTGCCGTTGCTGATGCTACAGATGCAGCTCGAAGTGCTTCAGACATTGTACTTACTGAACCTGGGCTAAGTGTCATTATCAGTGCAGTGCTGACCAGCAGGGCTATTTTCCAAAGGATGAAAAACTACACGGTTAGTCATATCGTAGCTTACACTTGGTTGCATTTTATGGTCCATTATTCCACAGTGCAAGTGTTTGTAACCTTTTCTCTTATTCCTTTCAACTTTATAGATCTATGCAGTTTCGATCACCATTCGTATTGTGGTAAGTATATAAAGACCTGTTGAGATTTTAACGCTAATAATGCTAAATAGGTTTACGGATGGATTAAATTATTCGTGTTCATTTTGGCAGTTTGGCTTCATGTTTATCGCCTTGATATGGAAGTTTGACTTTGCGCCTTTCATGGTTTTAATTATTGCCATTCTAAATGATGGTGAGATGATCTTTATCAGATTGCTTCATCAAAATAATTTATTCTACATGTCACCAGTACCGACCCACCACCATGGCCCTTAATCTGATTTATTTTGTCATCTATAGGTACAATCATGACAATTTCGAAGGACAGAGTAAAGCCATCTCCACAGCCAGACAGCTGGAAACTAAATGAGATTTTCTCTACTGGCGTTGTGCTTGGAGGTTACTTAGCACTAATGACTGTGTTATTCTTCTGGGCAATGAAAGACACCAATTTCTTCTCAGTAAGAACGGCTTTCGCTATGTCCCATTGATGTATTATTTTGGTGAGATTTCTTATGATTTTGCTAAGTTTCCGTTTCCTATATTTCAGGACAAGTTTAATGTTAGATCTTTGAGGGATAGTCCTAAAGAAATGATGGCAGCTTTATACCTTCAAGTTAGTATTGTGAGTCAGGCCCTCATTTTTGTCACACGGTCTCGCAGCTGGTCCTATTTTGAACGTCCTGGACTTCTACTAGTCGGAGCTTTTATAGTTGCTCAGCTGGTAAGAAAATTTAACTATTCTTTTAAGATATCCATTCCAAAAATCTGACTTTTCCATCATAAAATTTTAGCAGGCCTGGCTTCATTTGTAAAGCACGTCTCTTAGAACTTTTGTTTCTTAATTTATTGTCAAAGTCCCCAGCAAATAGATATACCTTCTATAGCTAAGTCGGAATAGATACTTGGTGTTGCAGAGAAGTTCTGTGCACCGCTAATGTTATTGAAATTGTGGTCGTTTACATTGAGTTAATAAAAGGTGAAGGATAAATGACAAATTTCACAAATTCTACTCCATGTTTTTTTTTTTTGCTAATTCAGCAAACTATTTCAAATGCCTTTTTGTATTTATATTTTACAAACGTTAACTGATAGCTCCCTATTATTACAACATAATAATGAAACCACTTATATTTGGTAGGTGGCCACTTTGATAGCAGTCTATGCAAATTGGGGTTTTGCAAGGATTAAAGGTATGGGTTGGGGATGGGCTGGTGTAATATGGCTTTACAGTGTTGTGACTTACATTCCACTCGATCTTATCAAATTTGCAATTCGCTATATTCTTAGTGGAAAGGCTTGGGATAATCTTTTGGAGAACAAGGTAAGATTTGTATGGCAATTCCTTGATGATTGTCTTCCGTTTTCATTAATTTAAATCTCTCAAGTTCTGTTTTGTTTCTGATTTGATTTCTCTTATGCTGTCTTCACGTTATAGACTGCCTTCACTACAAAGAAAGATTATGGAAAAGAGGAAAGAGAAGCACAATGGGCAGCTGCACAGAGAACACTGCATGGCCTTCAACCACCTGAAACCGCAAACCTTTTCAACGAAAGGAGCAGTTACAGGGAACTTTCAGAGATTGCAGAGCAGGCCAAGCGTAGGGCTGAGGTTGCAAGGTGAGTGAACTAATGAAATGCGGGAGAATGCATGTTATTGTCATTTTGTCCCCGCTTTATAGAAAAAGTTTCTCCTGCAAAATAAAAATATAGAATGAAATGTTGTATGGTTTTCGTTTTTCATGGTGATCTCATCTTTATTTATGCATTGGGTAGGCTGAGGGAGCTGAATACACTGAAGGGGCATGTTGAATCAGTTGTTAAGCTGAAGGGACTTGATATCGATACTATTCAGCAGCATTATACGGTTTAATTAAAGAGCAGCAGAGCATTTGGGAGAAACATAGGATGATGTTCAAGATGATGATCTTTCCTTCCAAAGAAAAAAAGAAAAACTATGATGAAGAACAAGTTTGAGGAGAATATTAGGATAATAATATTAGATTTAGGGGCCATTTTCTTTTATTCTAAATGTCGTAATTGTATGTGTAGGAACACTTTGGGGCTATTAAGTTGCTAGGTTTCTGAGTAATTTGAAGCCATAGCAATTCAGGTTTAGCATTTTAGCAGTAACCTTGTAATTAAAATTTCATTTTGCTAACGCATCGGACAAGTTGCCCCTTGAACGCATGTCAAAATTTGATTGAAAGAAGCCATTCCATTTTATTGGATTGGACCACTTCCCTTTAAACAAATTCTCTACCCAAAACCCCTTGGCCCTATCCCTAACCAATTATATCAAATCATCTGCAGTACATTGTCAGGCTTATTGATACATCAAGAAAAAAGGAAAATGTATATATTATATAACAAATGAATTGGCAGTCAATAAGCAGTGAAATTAAATTAAAAAAAAGTAAAACCTAGGAAAAAATTCCAACAATTTGACCGCTGAAAAATCAGTTAGAAGAGGTTAAGAGAAATGACATGTGAATATATGTTGAGTGTGGAGTCCATGTGTCTTTCTTTCCACTTGATTTTTGGTAAAAGACTTGATAATGATGGCAATTAAGGATTAAATAATGAATCATTGTAAAGTGGAGATAAAGATTGTGCCAAAATGCAGAGTCCAGCTCCTACTGTTATGTTATGCTATCCTTTGATTCAAAGTTTGTAGCTAAGCTAAGATAGGATATTTGGCAACGTAGTCGGCTTAATTAATAAAGAACAATGGCTGAATATTTCGCCATTTCTTTCTAATCATGTCTTCAATTAATCATCAATCTTTCTGATCCCAGTCAATACAAACCACCAAACTACTCTCCTTATCCCAATCCCTTTTTTTGCCCTAATATTTGTACTCTTTTAACCGCTATTTCTTATCTATTCAGCACCTATAACAAAAACAAATGTTTTTTGCAAATAGAAAGCAATAAAACATTTCCCAGTGATGCAATGGAAATTCTAATATCGCATGCTGATTTCCAATCTTAACAATTCGCAAACAAAGATTTCCAAAAAAAAAAAAAAAATAAGTACATGAGAAAAACATGAGAAAAATAAAACAAAATAAAATAAAACACGTTTGCTAAAACTAACACAAGGTGAGAGAAATAACGAGAAAAAAAGAACCAAGAAAGAGGGAGAGAGAGAGAGAGATATAGAAAGAAAGAAACCCATTTTAAAAAAAATAGATATATAGATAGATAGAAACTAAAATAGTAGCAACAATCGATCGAGCTAACGCAAAAGAAAGCGGAGCTGAAATCAAGAGGAAGGGAAAGCTCGAAAAAATAAATGCACTCTAAATAAAAACACAAATTATATATCCAAAAAAAAAAAAATCGAGGGAGGAAGCCATAAAGAATCCAGGCTGCGAACAATCCAATACCAATCCCAACCCCAACCCCAACCCCAACAAACAACTGCAGTGGCACTCGATTCCTGTGCAATTGGTCAAGCTAGTTGTTTAAGGTCAGCCCTCTATCAATCTTTTAACCTTTTTTCATTACTCTGGAGCTTCTTTTTCGCTCTTCATTCTGCTTCTTTTCTCTGCAGTTCCTGCACTGTTCTCAACTCTATCCTACCAACTCCACTGATCTCTTTCCTTCAACTTCAATTCTCCAATTCCCAGCTCTCTTTTTTTTTTTTTTTCATTTTTTGAATTGCCTATAAAAAATACATTGGGGGTTTTAATTGCTGCAGTGATTTTTCTTTTCGGTTCGTGCTGTTCCGCTTCAGACGACGCGCTCTTCTTTCTTTTAAGTTCGGTGATTCCAACTCTAGGGTTTTTATTTGTTCTTTGCTTTATTCAATTCGGCTTTGTTTACTGGGGTTTCTATTTGCCACTCAACTGGAGTTTGATCCCTAGGGTTTTGGTTCCACGAAGATGAGATTTGAGCTTGCATTGTATGGTGTCTTGGTCGGTCAATTTAGGGATGTTTGGAAACTGAGATAACTCTGTCCACCTTGGGAATTATGAGTTTTTTTTTTTTTTCCCTTTCTCTGGGATTTCATGCTTGCTGTTTTACTCTCAATATGCAGAGATTGAGAGTTTGATTTGCATTGTATTGTACTCAAATTGGTGAACTTGGACTTGTTTGGTGGCGGAGAAGACACTAAATTGGGGGTGGAAACGGGTTTCAGCGGTTTTGTAGTTCTGTGAATGGTGCAGGGATCTGCTTATTGAGCAATGCAACCTCAGCAGGGGTCCAGAATCAATTTAGGTGAATTGAAAGCTCAGATAGTCAAGAAGCTTGGGGCTGAGAGGTCAAAAAGGTACTTGTATAATTTGAGCAGGTTTTTAAGTCAGAAGCTTAGTAAAAGTGAGTTTGATAAGTCATGTTACCGCATTCTTGGGAGGGAGAATCTGCCACTGCACAATCAGTTGATACGTTCAATCTTGAAAAATGCATGTCAGGCTAAGACTCCGCCACCAGTTCATGAAGCGGGTCTTGCAAAATCTTTGATACAAACTGTGAAAAGTTCTCCTGTTAGAGAAGACGGACATGAACAAACTGGATCCCTTGTTCCCAATCAGAATCCAAATATGGCCATTTGGTCAAATGGGGTTTTGCCATTGTCTTCCCCACGAAAGGTTAGGTCTGGAATACGGGATAGAAAAGGCAGGGATAGGCCCAGCCCGCTGGGGCCAAATGGAAAGGTTGAGATTGTCTCACATCAGTCAATGGGTATGGACGACAATGGCAATAAATTGGGTACAGAAAATGGGGATTTGACTCCGTATGATTATCGGAGACCAATGCAGCATCTTCAAGCAGTTGCCGAGCAGCCTGAAATTGAAAGAGAAAATTTGGTGCAATCCAGAGAAAAACCGGGGGTGCTTAGTAAAGATCAGACTGAAGGACCCATTGTTGAATATGGGGACGAGGTGGAGCAAGTTAAGCACATTAATCTCTCTAGAAGTCCTCTGCTTGCACCACTCGGGATTCCATTTTGCTCAGCTAGTGTTGGTGGGGCCCACAAAGCTATGCCAGTGGCAAGCAGTGGCAACTTCATTAGCTACTATGACAGTGGTGGTTTGTATAGTACTGAGACATTGAAGAAACGTATGGAGCAGATTGCAGGAGCGCAGGGTCTTGGAGGGGTTTCTATGGAATGTGCTAGTATGTTGAATAACATGTTGGATGTATACTTGAAGAAACTAATCAGGTCATGTGTTGATCTGGTGGGATCAAGATCTACACATGAGTTGAGAAATCACTCTGCTCACAAGCAGCTGCCTCAAGGCAAGCTTGTTAATGGCATGTGGCCAAGTAATCACTTGCATATGCAGAGTAGCTCTGGGCCCATAGAAGTTTTGCAGGAACGGGGGCAGTGGTGCTCAATATCTTTGCTTGATTTCAAAGTGGCAATGGAGCTAAATCCCCAACAGCTGGGTGAAGATTGGCCATTGCTTCTGGAAAAAATTTGTATGCATTCGTTTGAAGAATGAAATATCCTTCAAAGATTGGTTTCCTGAAGCTGTCATTAGATTTGGATCTGTCCATTCTGGTTCATGTGCTTGATCACTGAAGCTCCCAGTTCTTTTCCATTATTGACATGGACCAGATGGCGCCCCATTTAGATAAAGCTCTGGCCATTGCAAGATGAAATTATGGGGTGGTGGATGCCTGTACTCCTGCTGCGGAGCCGGGATGGATCAGAAATTATTTTTGAGCGACTGAGCTAAGGTGATTGAAAGAAAGTGCTAACAACTGGTTGCTCTGTTGTACGATTAGCATTGTTGTTGGCTGTCTTCTGCTATCTCAACAGATTTCAAGCTTTTCTTGTAATTAACAGTCAATGAGGTGGAAATGTAAGAAAGTTTTGCAGGGATACTGTTTTGTATCTTGGTGAAGGGTAAAATTACTTGTGTAAGAACTGCAGCATTGCTCTGTATGTAATTTTAAAATCTGAGAATTGATTGAGTTCCAATATCAATAACAAAGTTGACATCCATTAAATTGTCCATGGTGATTTATACGTAGATGTTTCCACCGGATGACTCCCTGAAAAATCTATTTGCTAAGATCTGATGCCATGTTCTTGTGTAGTTTATGACTTGGTAATTGTAATTAATTGTCATTTAAAAGATTTGGGGGCATACAGTTTTTCATATCGCTCAAGCTACTTTTCTTAATTGTTGATTGGATATGTATGAAGTTGCCCCCCCCCCCTTTTTTTTTAATTCCTATATATATATATTTATGTATATATATATATATGTATAGAGAGAGAGAGAGATCCAAGTAATAAATTAAACATGGCCGGTCTACAGTCAGTTGATTTCGAAATTACTAGATTGCTTGTTGAGTGACTTGGTATCAGGCTAGCTAATGTATCACATTTGTTGAAGCTGCTTATTCTGAGCTTACAAATGTCAAGCGGTTATTTCATATTGTTTGAATCTAAAGCTGGCCAAATTTGATTGATCTTAAGCTCTATAAGTGGGTAAATATTGGTCCTTGGGAAACTATCATGATAGGTTTGTTTCTAGAATGCTTGCAATTATTTTGCAAGTTTTACGTGGATCAAATCATCCAGTCTGCACTCTAATGTCTGACTATCTGGAACAGGATTACCTGGTGACTAAAAGAAGTAAAGATTTTTCAGTATTGGATTATAAAAATCCTGTACCAACAACCCTTACTCCGACCCTTACTCCGTTCAGTTGGAGTTGCTAGTGCTTACGAGAGCATTTCTTCGACTTCACTGTGCTCTAAGATATGAGAACATTAATTTTCCAGTATAACCTTTTTTGTTGTAATTGGTAACATGCAAATGCTATGTTTTGTTGAGTTGTCCATTATTATTGAGCTGGTTTTCAATAAAATTGTTTTTGGAAATTTTTTTAATGTTTTCCGTCATTTCATTTTTGTCACTCACTATATAATAACCTGAAAACTGTTTTCTCAGTTTATCTGCACTGTTACATGCAAAAATCAGGGATGGTCGGTAGGTAAGTGCTCTTTTTAATTGTTTATGCTAATGTTGTTCCTTCCTCTTTTGCACCATTTTATTTGTTTGTTCTCAAAACTCATTTTAAGAGATGCTCAATGTTGTATTGCTTTTAACCTATGAGTTTCTTAATTGTATGTTTGAGGTTGGGGTATTGTTAAGCTGTAGGGATAGGCTAATTCATATTATGTAGATATCTGCATCACTTGTAAAGATGAGAAGAAATCAGGCATATGCAAAACTTATTGTAAATATCAATGAATATTTTGTTAACCTTTATTTTTTTTCACCCTAAATATATATATATATATATATATATATGGAAAAAAAATTTACTCAAGTGGCTTATGTTGAAGCTGCAGAGGAGGTTAACCAGATCGCATACATGTAGCATGATGTAGATGGGTCACAGTGCTTCGTTTTTTGTTACCATTCCAGCTATCTGGAACATGCAGCTGGCATTGAAGTTCAGTTGATGAACTAACTGAAAGATGTTTTATATTTTGAAAGCACCAGCAACTGCAAATTTATGTACCGATCAAGCGCCTGCTGATGGTGGCCGCGGGACACCCATTAAGGACTTAAGTTGGACATTATTAAATGAACTTAAATCTACCGTCTACTGTCTACTCTCACGAGGATCCAAATTAGACTGTCAACGATGGTATGAGAGTTTTGAACTTTGAAGATAGACTGTTGCAAGCAATGCTTGGGAAGATCAACGTAATTATAATGTTGAACATTTAAGTTAGACTACTATAAATAGATGTTTAATGTTTTCAATCCCGAATTAAAAAAATACAACCTTCCATCAACGGAGGGAAAAAAAAAAACGATACAACCTTCTCTAGTTTGCAAAAATAGTTTTGGAGCTCTTGTTAAGTTTTTTTATACCCTCATTCCAATTTGATGCGACCCCATACCTCCTTCCACGCAGGAAACAATATCCCTGATGTAACCAAATCAAAAGTTGAAAATGCAGGTGAAAATAAAAGGCAGGCATGGCTTACAGATACAGAAAGGAACGAGTAGAAGCCACCAAAAGGGCGTCAAAGCCTTTGCATTACTGATCGGGTGCTTCCCATATTCCCAAGTCCAAAATAGAATTAGAAGTAGAGAGGATGGAGTTTAATTGTAAAAGCGACCGCATCATGGAATAATAGAAATGAGGGAATTTATGCAGAATTATTTCAGGGGAAAATGAGGGAATAAAGAAAAGGGAAGTGGCTTGTAGCTGTTACTTTCACATAAGATCCTGTATCGCTGTTTATCCAACCTTCAAATATCAGCAAATTCCTATAGCATCATCTACTGGTCTGGGAGAATCATCAAAGTAAAAGATCTTGGCTTTGCTAGCAATTAAGGAAGGGATGATAAATAAGTACATCAAGCACCTAACTGACATTTACCAAAGAAGAGGGACGCTCAAAGAACAGCAGAAACATGCGTATTTCGATTCACATTTCTTTTATGGGTGAATGAGTTCCAGTGCAGAGCCAAAAGCACCCGGTTTATTAGTTGATCCACATGAAAGCGATTTGATATTTACATATGATCATAAAATTAAAAGAAAAAATGCTGATGAGAAGCCATCAATTTGTACAAAAGAAAGAAAACTCGGTCTCTTGCCTTCTATCAATTCAAATTCAACTGATTTATGAGGTGAGCGAAAAAGACTGATTGGGTTCTGCTGATGCTTTGCAAATAGGGCACCAATTCTTCACCCGCAACCATTCCTGTATGCACACCACGTGATACCTATGCTCGCACTGCAACCTCCCTACTTCATCTCCAATGACATACTCTTCCTGCAAAAGGAAAACCAATTGATGGATTCCATTAAGTTGAAACTGAAACCTGTCTAGAAACCATTGCAGTCACATCCTGAGGAAAATAGGTAGCATATTGTTTTCTCGGATAGAGTGGAAAGTTATATAGAAAAGGACCTGACAAATACTGCATTTGACATCATCCTTTTCACCCTCGCAGCTGACATTTGCATCCTCTGAGGATGTTGCCTCATAGATGATTTTTTTAACGCATTTTGACAATGCTTCTTCGGATAGCGCAGTGCTTACAGTACCCATCCTCTCTTCTAGAGCTAGTAATTCCTGTCAAGATAGCAAGAAAAGCTCATTTCTTAGTTTCTGTAACAACAAACATAAAACGGGGAAAATAAAATGCCAACTTAGCACCAACGTAGCAAAACAAAAGCAAACCTCATATGACATATTATCTATATCCAATCTCATGTCTCTATGCTGGTCATAAAAGTTTAGGCCATTAAGGAACAAGCTGGTTTCCAGAACAAGTAATTGCTGCAAGACAGAAACAGAATCAACATAGAACAATCAGGTAAAGAGAGACACTTCAAAACTAGTTACCTCATATGTCAACTCTTCATCTTGTTCAATCCTCTCAAGTGCTAATAATACCTGTGTAAAAATAAAACCATATTAACAGATGAAGCTTCATTATATTAAAAAATACTGCAAACAAACAACTAATGGTTCATTTTTGCAAGTGTAAAATATATTGGCAACCCCACTCATTCCCTTCCCTGAGTTCTATAGAAAGAAAAAATGAAAAACAAGAAAGTTACAAATTCATCCATAAGACAATGCAGGTCGAAATATCTTGTTAATTGTACCTCCGCAATGCCATCCATATTGTAGCGCCGGAAGCTATCCCGGTTCGCTGAAGAGCGGTTAATGCCAACTTCTGAAGGACTGGACGGCATAATATTGGGTAAACTCTCACTTATACTACCTGGTCTAGTACGAGTTGAGGCAATTTCTGTGGAAACAGGATCATTCAAATTGATAGGTATATCACATTGAGACACTTGCTGCATGCCTACGGGGGACTCATTCAAAGTTAAACTATTTCCATCTGCTTGGTTAAGGGGTCTTCCTCTACCATAACTAATGTTTGATCTCCTAGTCCTAACTGAAGAAGCAACACCACTATCCCTGTTAGGAGGCCAATTTCTGGCTCGCCTTGAATCAGAAATAGAAACACCATAGCTAGCATTGTTCCGTCCCTCCAAAGACAACCCACTCAACTTCTTTCCCCTGGTGGAGGAACTACCGTCTCCATCAGAATTTCTCTTTTTTACTGTATCTTTCCTTCTGCTGATGCTTGAATCAGATGATGAACAACCAGACGGGACAACATCAGAAATAGAGTTACACCTTAGATTTCTCAAACCATACCTGCTTGTGTTAGCACGAGTTGCATGGGAAGCATATCGAGATGCCAAAGTTGATGAACAGGCCAGAGTGTCCAGGTTGCCCAACCCAGATCTCGGAATAAAGTTTCTTCTTGATATTGGGTTTGATGATACACTAGAGCTTCCAGCTTCCATCACTGTAACTTCCCTCGAATCAGCATCATTAGAATCAGGCTGAAGCCCTCTTTGAATCTTTCCTAGTCTGGGAATAAGTTCTGACACTTCTGGCTCATCCTGAACACTACTAGTTTCAGATGAATCTGTTTCCAGCTGAGATGGTAGCTTTTTCTGAGGTTTTCTAGAAGACTTTGTAGGGTTTCTAACTGCAGAGTATACTCTAGAGGGACTTCCAATTATTTCCTTGCCGCTTGATGAAGTGCGGTAAGAATGCCTCAAAGATTTGGCATTTTCAGAGCAGCCACTTGGATTACCTTTCACAGAGTTCAGCCTGCCATCACATCCGATTCGATTGCAAAATTGAGCCTTTCGTTCTCTATTATTAACATCATCCTTCGTGATGAGACCTGATCCCTTGCCAGGTACAACAAGCCCTTCAACAGCCCTTTTACCGGTATATCCATCCATCTAGTAAGTATCCTTTATATCTGGAAAAATATCAAAATAAATGTATCATATAATAATCAAAGAAACCCTTCGCCATGACATAACTTGGATTCAGGAGGGAAAAGAAAAGCCTATAAACCATAATTTAATTTGCAGGCATACACTTGTTGTATACTGCAGGAACCTGTCATACTTCATTGGACATAAGATAATAATTAAATACATTGCCTATCTAAACATCCCACTAGCCGGAGCTCAACCACATTGCCAACAAGAATCTTCTTCATTCCAAAAGATAATTCTTGATACCCGCTTGTATACAAACTTACAAGCTTTAAAAAATGAACCATTTGTTAAACTTCCAAAGCAGGTAACGTTCAACCCAACACAAACATAATAAACATGAAATTGAAAGAAGAGCACATGTGTTCGTATATATCCAACCTTAAAATATCGCCTGGTCACAAAAACCTAATTTAGTACCTTCAAATTATTTGCTTTAAATGTTTATAACTTAACCCAGTTAAGATGTGTGCCGTTAAACCAATCAATCAGCAATGCAATTGCCCATTAAGTTGAAGAAATCCGCAAAAGATAGTAACTGGCAGCATTAGTTAAAAGCTACCCAAATTTGGAACCATAAAGGTAGAGACTTGCAACCTATTTTCAATCTAATTAGATCTGTATTGCAGTAACCTATGCCTCCCACTCCCAAAAGGAAACGGAAAAAGAATACAAACTATTACCAAAGGTCTATTTGCAGAACTTTGTCCTTAACCCAAATTAGAAACCCGATTCTATTTTACAATCCACCCAGCTTATTCACCAAGAGATAAAGAACAAATTATGCCATAATTGCATAACATAATTATGAATTTCAAACTTGAACATTCCCAGAAATAAATGCCAAAATCCAAAAAGAAAAAGGAAAAATCACCTCAAAACTGAATTGAATCAATAAGATAGATAGATACTTGAGAAAAAAAAAGATTAAAAACGAAACATCTTAGGATCAAACATGTTTACAAGGAGAGCCTTTTGTTGCTTTCTCAAAACAAAAAGTAAATAAAAAAAATCACAAAACTGAATAAGAGGAAAAGAGAAACAAAAAAAAAAGGAGGGTAGATGATCACATGCCACAGTACTGTATTTGATCCCAACAAAAGTGGGTTTCTCTCTCCCTTTGGTTTTCAAGGCCAACGTTTTGTTTGAATTATCCTCCACACAATCATTTTATTTTTGTTTCACCTCTTCTTTTCTAAAAAAAAAAAAAAAAAAAGACTTTGTCCGTGATTTAAGGGTGGAAAAAGCTGATGGAAATTGAAACTTAAAAGTAGAGTAGACAAAGGAAACCAAACCAGATAAAAAAAAAAAAATTGAATAGTTCTTTGAAACTAAAGAAGAATGATCACTTCATCAAAATAATCAATCTTTTTTTATATAGAATATATTTAAAACTTGGATTAAAACAAAGACCCGTTAATTGCCAAGGATTTTTGTTTTCTTCAAAAAGAAATGAGCTATAGTATGTAAGAATTTAATAGAAAACGATCAAAGTGAGTGGGTTGAGACTGAGAAAGAGAATTTATGGACGTATAAAAGAAGAAAGAAATTGAATAAAGGAGGAAAGAAGGGAAGGAAAGCAAGGAACAAATTAAAGACGTTAAATTTGAAGAAAAATAACGTTCTTCTACCTCTTCGCTTCTCCGTCTTCTCCTTTCGATTCTTTGAATATACAGAGGGAGAAATTTTGAAGTCTTAAAAGAAGATGAAAAAGAAGAAAAGGCTGTATGTATTAAAAGGAGAGAGAACAGAGGCAGCCCAGCCAACATTACAATAAAAAAAAATGGAAAAACGTGTATAACAAAAAAAAGAGATCCAATGCTGCCTCTGCTTGCGAACCCAACTCTATCTAATAATCTTTCTTTTATATAATATATATATATATATATATATATATAGTTTTGGACGGAAAATAAAGAAAATGCAGAACAAATGGAACCAAATTGAAGGAGTGCTTGCGTTGCCGTCCCGTCCTTACAACAAGTTGGGGTTCAGTGAGGCCCAAACCGTTGATATCGGGTTAGGATGGTCAAAGATAAACGGCTGAACGAAACTGTGGTGTCTCCTTTTTTTCCTCAACAAAATAAAACATCCAAAAGCAAAAAAATTGAGAAGCAGCTTAATTTTGTGGACGGAAACGGAACGGCGGCCACACCCCACAATCCACATCAACAGTTAAACCCCCCCCCCATCTCATTTTATTTTTTTAATAATTTCTAATTTATTGTTTCAAAAGGAATAATAATTTCCAATTTATAACTTTATGTTTTTTAAATACAATCAGTAATATTTCAATTTTTTATTTGAGTCTAATTTCGTTTTGGAACAATTTTAAAATGTAATTCTTTATATAATACATTTCAAAATTTTATTTTTTAAATACTTAGATAATAATAAAATCCAAATTAAAAAACATTATTCTCTTGTTCGCTGAACAGTACTGACGAAAGACAAACTTTAAGTGTGAATAGGGGTGCGAGACACGCGTTGTTTTGTTAATTGATATGATGGCTTTTTTTTTTTTTTTTTTTCTTTTTTTAACGAATATGATGGCTTTTAAGCACGTAAAATTGACACTATTTTTTTAAATAAATTTGAAATTGACACGTATTTTATTTTTTATGTTGATGACTTAATGTCTTGCGTTTATTTACGTTCTTTCCTTGTGTTTACTTGTTGGATTATTTTGTTTTGATTTCTTAAAATCACATTTGAGATAGTCTTCTTTTGTTTTGAAATTCCCATTTTCTTTGATGCTTTCGACTAATATCACAAGTTACATTCAAAAGTTTCATAAATTTTATTTTCCTATTTGGGTTTTATTTTTCCTTTAGCTTAACATCCAAGTTTCTATGTTTTTAAATTTGATATTCACACTTAAATTGTAAGTTAATAAGTTAAAGGCAAGACACATTTTTTTTTTATATTTTATATATAATTTTTAAATAAATTTTTAATTATAATAATTTTTTATATTCTTTTTATATCATATCATTTAATATTTAAAATTATCAAATCTAACAATAATAAATTTTTTTTCTCTGATTTCAATGGGCAATAAAATCTCATATAAGAAGCACGGTATTTCAATATGGTAAGGTACTGGGGTGCATTTAAAACGTAGATAGGTAGATAGATGAATGATAGGTGGGCGATGGGGTCCTTAATTTCACTTGCCTGTTATGCCCATTTGCACATCTATCATTTCTTATATATTTCTTTTTTTTTTTTTTTGAGGAAAACTGAAATTGAAAAACGTATTCTTAATCTGATCAAGACTTGCATGTCTCTATATGATTGGCTTACATAATAATAAACAATAATAATCCCTTCTTTTGATCAAAATTAACATCAAATATAGATAAATTTTTATATATGTCTCAACCTTATCTTAAGTGTGATAAAACCAAAATTTTAGGAAAAATTAAGACAATCAACCCATCTAATCGGAGTATTTAAAATCTTTTATCACTATTTGCACACTCCAAAAAGTATCGCCATATGCATGATCCATTTAATTAATGTTTCACCTTCCTTTTACTATTATTATGCTTTATAATTATTAATGTTTTACATTATATGATCAACTTGTATGACTGATCTTGTGTTTTGGGGCCAACATGAATTTGGATTCATGTGTTTTGGTTACCTTATTCCTAATTTAATTTTAATATATCCTAATCTTTTGAACTACATATTTTTAATTTCATCTAAAAAGAAAAAAAAATAGTAAATAGCAACACCTGTAATGATAAAAAAAAAATAAAAATGGAAAGCTCACATGTGGGGAAGAATGAAGGTGAACCCTTTGAATCTGAGTTTATGGGATGGGGAAGCTTGAAGGAACAGATATGGTAGGCAAATGTGACTATTCAACAAACTAATTAATGATGGATTATATATTCACTCCATATTGATCAGTTAAATTAGCACATGTATAATTATGATAAGAATGAAATCATAATGTGTTGCGGGGAGTGAAAGTATTTGAATCGAGAAACTTATTTTGGTCAATTTGCACCAAGAATTGTTCTCAAGGGAACTTTTACTTAATAATAATTGTGGAAAACTGGTCACTTAACCAACTAATGCAATAATGGAAGCCTTTTTCTTTTCCCACATGTCGATGGAATGAATTTATGTGTCTAGTTGCTTAATTTTCTCATCAAATAATTTATATATATAAAGAAGAAAAGCTGCACAACCTCCCCAATTTAATGAAAATTTTAAAGTCAAATTATTGCGGATTAGAACAATTATGAGCCCTGTTTATAATTTTTTTTGGGTTAATGGTAATGGAGTGGCATAAGGATTGTTGTAGAAAGAGAAAAATAAATATTTGTTTTCTTTATATATAGAGTTTTCACTTCACTTCATAGATGAATGAATTGATCAACCAATAAACAAATTTGTAGATAAGAACAATGCGGCATCATTATAATATGTGGAAGGTCAGTGAAGCCCAAGTGTCACGGGTCGAGATTTAAACTTTGAATTCGCGTAATTTCAAGATTCGGACATTTATTTTTTTGATGTCTTAGATCATTCTGACTATCACGATTCACACACTTGTGAGGTATTATTTGTTTAATCCCCTAATCTCATAATTTATCCTACAAAAAGCGACTTACAAAAAAAAAATAGTGTGAACCCTTTTATATTTCAATGACTCTCATTTTATATTTGATTTGAGATTTATGACTCATCTTTAGATCCGAGACACAAACATGATGATAAACAAAATAATGGATCAACTGAAAAAGTTTCCTACATATCTTGTTGTTGTTAGACAAGTGCTTTTTCTTGGAAACATTAATTAGCGAATTAGACGGACAAAGTCCTCTATAACAAGTCAATTAATTTCTAGTTCTCTTTGTATTAGACAGAGGCCTTAGTGGAGTTTTATTTAATTTACTTTTGTGGCGCTTAGATTAATTAAACAAAAGAATTGAATAAGAAGAAGAAATGAGGTAAGAATGGCAATTTTTTTTCTTTTGCAACAAAGGAGGAGTAACACAAGGTGAGGTCCAAGTCCCCACCATTCCAGTGGTGATGATGACTACAATACTATTTGATTCTTACGATTGAGTTAAGCTCTTGTCGTTAATTTGTTAGATACATTAACATTAAGATAAACTTTGGATTATAAAAATGGATGTAAGCTTTTCCAATGACCTGCAGGAAACTAAATAAATATATCTTTTTTTATAAAAAAAAAATGAAAAAAGCAAGGGGTAGGTCAGCAATTTGATAATACGTGGACAATAATATATGAATTAATTAGTGACTAGAGAGAGATTATGTACAGGTTTGCTTAACCCACTAAGCGTGTTGTATTAGGTCCATGAATATTTTGGAATGGCGTGTCGTGCGGGCAAAACCTTATAGAAATTGCCAAAGCAAGGGGAGAAAAAAGTGGTAACAGTAATGGTTGTTATCACACTTTGCAGAAGCAGAAACCATTTTTTTTTTTTTTTTTTTGTGTATGATAGTATTGTTTTGGAAGATGACGAGTTGGTTTGATTTGGATTTGGTAATATTATTGCGAAGTATACGTAGGAAAGAAATTATGTTATCTACTTTTTCTTACTAAGTAATTTTTGTTTTAGAGATATATATATATATATATATATATATATAGCATGGCCTACTACTCCAGTTCAGTCCAGAAACACCAATAGAAAGAAACAAGAATTAAGCTCATATACTTTATTTAAGAATATAAATGATACATTTATATTTATAAATTATTTATTTTTTATTTAAAAAAATTTTGAATTCGATTTTATTATTATTGAATTGAATTTGAATTCAAATAATTCAATTTATCAAACGAATTGAATTTGAATATTGATTGACTCGAATTACTTATGAGTTTATCATATTTTTTATTTTAATATATATTTTTATTATTTTGTCCTTAAAATTTTGACTTTAAAATATAAATTCTTAAAACTAAAATCTCTCTCTTTCAGTCTTCCGACTCTCCTCTCCCCCTCCAATCGCGCTATCCTGTCTCTTTTAATCTCACGACTCTCCTCTTCTCCTTCAATTTCATGACTTTCCTCTCTCCCTCCCTAAGGTGTTATTCCATGGACATGATAAAAGACTTTGTTCCAATATCTGTGTTTTCCGATACATCCCAAGGTAAGCATATGTTATTCTTTTTTTGAAAAGAATAATGATGAACTAGAATAGGGATAGAGGGTCTTTCCAATAGTGTTCACATGGACACTTAGACTCACCCAATCCAATTCACTCTGTCTTCTTCGTTTTTGGTGCATTTGTTCCCGTTCAATTTCATCCAATTGATCCCACGCTTTCTTTGTTTCGGTAAAATCAAAGTGGGGTCTTCCAACACTATCTCGCTCCAATACTTACCTAAATCCTGCTGCAAAAGTGTCCGAGCCTTCGGTCGTTAGGGTCTCCAATGCTGGCCCTGCTGTTAGGGTTTTAGATCTGCAACTTGAAGATCACAAGCTCTCTGGTCTGTTCCTTTCCTCTTTACTTCCATTTGTTTTTCGTTGAAGTTTGGTTTAATGTTAAGGTTGTAATTTGGATTTTATTATTCATCTTAAATTTAATTTGAAATGAAAATTATATAATGTTGGTGATTTTGGCTTATTTTGGGTGATAATCTGATTTTGTATTTGATTTTGTTCAAAGTCCTTTATTAGTTAAAAATAAACGTTAATGGGTCTCCACCACTTGCCTTTTTGCTTATCATTTTCCTAACAGGAGTAAGCAGATTGATATATTTGGAATCTGATAATGAGTTTGAAAGCGGTTCTAGTGGGGACAATGAACAGAAGAAGGGATTGACGGGTTCTGACATTAATGAGTCCCAAGAGTTAGAATAGCGTTTTAAATTTGTTGATTATGAATCTCATCTAAGTTTGTTAATATTGTATCTCCATCTATATTTTATGTGATTGTCTGATTTTTGAAACTTTGCTGTGATTTTGAAAATGCAAAAGGAATCATATACAATAGTTTGGAATCTATTTTCTTTTAGGTTAATGGAAGTTTTCAGGAAGTATGATTTTTAGGTAGTCCTAATCTAATCTAAATGTGTAAGGAAAGTTCTACTCAGTCAACTTATAAACAAGAAGATGTTAATCCGCTGCTTCCTCTTGAGGTGTGATCATAAAATGGTGCATTATTATTCAGCCTCCAAAATACTACATATTCCTCAAGTGCTTGGTGAAATATTCGCCTTGGTCTGTGCGCATCACAATCTTAAATCTTTCCGCTTCGGGGGAGAAAGGCCTTTAATGTCTAATTTTGTCAAAGTGGAGAAAACAAAGGATCAGGAATCCAAAAATCACAAATTTTTTATTAAGCTTCAAGTTAAACAAATTCGAGTGCGACTTAAATTTTATTTCGACTTAAACTTAAATTTTAAAAATAAAATTTAATTGAATTTAAATAAATTTTAAATTTTAATTTTTGAATCGAATTCAAATATTTTAATTTATCATACGATTCAATTCAATTATATATCAAGTTTTATTTAATTAACTTCATATATATAATATATATATATATATATATAAGATTTGGCTATGCATTTGATTTTCGCTTTTATTTAGATATATAAGAACGTACAACTCCACCTAACTTCACGTCAAAAGGAATAACTACTCTGCTATATGTTCCCCGCTTTAATTAATCATATATATTCTCAACTACAAAATTAATATGAAAACAAAGCATATACAAGCAAATCATAACAAGCTGCCAGACGGCCCTTTCTTTTTGGCCGTCTAAGATTTGCATTTGAATTGCTAAATTAAGACAGATTTTCATTTTCATTTTTTTTAAGCAGACCTTATTATTGCCTTAATTTATATGACTTCATCATATAATAACTCTCTTCCACAATATATATCTACATTATTATTGGCTAGATCTACTAGCGTTTGTTTCCAAAGGATACTAACGATTTTTAATAATAAAGGTTAGATAAATTGGGAAGAGGATTAAGGATGGACCATCTATATTAATTATATATTCTTCATGTTTTGAAAAAAACGTAAGATGAGCAGATCATAAATAAACTTGTTAAATATATTAATGGAGGTGGGCTACAAACTATATATTTTCCCTAAGATGTGCAAATTAAGCTGTTATCATTCACGTTCCAACCAACGAAACTATTATAAGCTATACTTTAGAAAATATATATATGTTGGGTTGAAAAGGTCAATAATTCCCATATGCTCGGTTAGTTTTTGGTGAACAATCAAAATTTAGTTTTAATATCAAGGGTCGACGGTCTCCACCACCGCTACAGCCAGTGCTACCTTTTGAGTTGTGCGGAATTCACGCTCCTTGCCTTAATTTTATCAAACTTAAGAAACCTCTTTTTCTCCTTCATATACTCTTCTTCTTCGTCTTCAAATCATTTGAATCCTTATTTTGTTCCCTCTCTTTCACTCTTCCATGAATTTGCTTTCATCATCAAGGTACGCTACCCATGAATATATATATATATATATCCCTTCCTCATCATTTGATATTGCCTTCTTTTTCAACTGTTTCATTTGCTTGTCTTGCTGGATCTATAGGAATTTTGCACGCAATAATATGATATAGTCCTACTTTTCTTGGTTTCTTAGGAACCCCAATAGAAATGTATTTATATCATTCTATCCTAGTCTTTAGAAATTTGATTGTGTATGGCAGCAATGTATCGGCAATGGCATGCTGTTTTTTTTTTTTTTTTTTACTTATATGGATTTAGATCTTTCCGAAGCAGAATCAAATCGCTCTTACTTTTAATTGGAACTCAGGCCTCGGTGCTTCGGAATCTCTTAAACATTTTTCATTTGTAAATGTATTCTACATATTAGTGAAGTTTCTCCTTCCATGCTAGGTGTTAGAACTTGAATGTATGGTTTTTTTTTTTTTTTTTGGGGGGGGGGGGGGGGGAGCTAATTGTAGGTGTGGCAGCCCTTAAGCTATGGTATGGGTACTAATTATCCTGCACAACTATTCATCAAGAATTTAGACTTCCACAATGTAAACAGAAAAAGGTTCCTCTCCTAAAGGACAAATGAGTAATATATAGTATCGTCTCTCTTAACTATGGGTGATTTTTGAATTTAAAAGTTATTCATTTTTTTTCATTAAGAAAAGGCTGGATTTTTCATGTAATATTGAAAGGACTATGAAAATGTGATTATACTAAATAAAATATGTAATCATCCATACCATAAAATGGCTAAGTTGAAATTCGAGTAGCAAACTGACGGTAACATTCATTTCTGTTCAATAAGCAACTAATTTAACTTCTGCATTTTCTTTCTTTTAAGAGGGACTTGAAATCTCTATGCATATGTGGTTAAAAGAAAAGAGGATTCTTTTCGACCAAATATATAAAAAGAAGAAAAGAGGATTTTGATGCTTTCAGCCATATGCTTTTTCTTGGGTGGCGGACTCAACCCTGGTTATCGTGCTTTATAATAATGCAGGATTCCGTTACCATTTTCTTAGTGGATCAAGTCAGAGACACCCGACGATTTTATGGCAACAACAAAAAGAGAAAGCGCTTTGGGGAAAGAGAGGAGGGGCAGTTCCCCTTCAAAGTCTTCCATCGCCCATGGCCATAGAAGATCCTCTCCAGGTTCCACCCAAAAACAAGTACCAAACTATCTCAAGCCTACATTAAGCTCACGCAGTGATGCTATCAAGAATGTAAAAAAACCTGGACCGGAAGACACCTCCCAAAGACCTGATCTTCTCAGAAGAAGATCTTTTGATAGGCCTCCATCAGCTGCTCGAGTCCATAAGGCACTTATCTCTCCAGGTCGAGATAAACCAACAACATCCCGGTCTGTTTCTTTTGCCTCTAAATCCACTACTTCACCTAAGGCAACTTTGGAAAGGGTTCTCAAAAAGCCAAATGCAGGAAAACCACAGACGTTGTCTTCGTCTAGGAGCATGAACAAGACCACTGGTTCCACCACTAAGAAGGGAAGCACTTCTTCAGCTTCAAAGAAAACTCCTAGTAGTCATGATAAAAAAGAAGTGCAGAATCTTGAAACCAAACATGAAAATGAAGAAACTTTGGATCATCAAGTTGAGGAGGTTGTGAAAGATTATCCGGGTGAGATAGATTATTTCGAAATACCAAAAGCTGAAGAAAATGAACATCCGGATGTTGTAAGTACAACTGAAGTCAACAGTGTTGAAGAAGGAAAAGTTACCCATGATGATATTTCTACAGTTTCTCAAGAACACAATGTGCCTCAGACAGAAGAAATGGAAGATAAGGTTCATGAAGAAAAATCTGATCATACTCAACATGATGAATATAAGGAGAATGACAGCAAAGAGGAGATCAGTGTTGATCATTATCACCAGGAAGAGATTCCTCATGAGGAGGCTAAACCAGAAACTGAAGATGAAGCAGAAGATAATGAAACTGACGAGGTAACTGCTACTAAGGAAATTGGAGAAGAAAAGCAACTTGAGAGCAGGGAGGAGAACGGTGAAGAGAGCCAGCAGGGGCTTGAATTATGTAAAGAAGAAACAATTGAAGAGGAGGTTGAAGAATCAAAGCCAGAGGCAGAGAATGTGGTAGCCAAAAGCGAAGTACAAGCAGAGAATCGGAAGAAGGAATCTCCAACACCGTACAATGATGTGATTGAGGAGACAGCCAGTAAGCTACTTGAGGAGAGGAAGAACAAGGTGAGAGCACTGGTTGGGGCATTTGAGACTGTCATAGATAAAGAAACTTCTAACGCCAAATGATATAATTTCTCCCTCAAATCGGTAGACATATAAATAAATAAACCATTTCCTGAGATTCACACTCGCTTGTAAACACTTTGTATAGCTTATAGATTTCTCATCATCATCATCAACTAAGAAATGAGGTTGCCTTTGAGTTTTTGGTTATGTTTTTTACAATTCCTTTCGACTGTTGTATTTTATTCTTTCGATCCTAATCTTCCCCTGATTGTCTTTGATCTTGTAAACAAATTAATGTTGCAACGATTTCGAAAGGAATCCAAACAATTTGAACATTTATCATGCAGTTTTAACCACTGCACCGTGACAGTACACATTGCATCATGCACAAAATGTATGGCAGAAAAAGAAGCATTTTCTCATAAAAATGTGCCTTACATAAAACATTACCATATACAAAACAGACTGGACCATGTAAAAAAATCATTATCATAATAATACAAAGATCACTCCTCTCCAATCCCCATATACCAGAATTTTAAGTTCACAAAGAAAGCAAAATGGCAGAATCCCTTTAGAAACAAACCCTTGAATTTCATTACAAATAATACACAATTCAAGTTTTTACAACCAATCCTGCATCAGGATAGAAAAAATAAATAAATCAATAAAAGCTGAAAGCTCAAGCCACACCGGAAATTCAAACAATTTAGCAGTATAAATATGGTATAAAACCTAGCCAAAATAATAATAATAATAATAGCTAACCTCGTTCTTGATAAATCTTGTAGGGGACGCTTACAATAGGTTACACCTCAATCCGCTTGATTTGACATATCTTCAGTGTTGGAGATTAGTCTGTGTCCAACTCCAAACTCCTGGTTTGGCAGTAACTTTGCTCCAAAGAAACCTGCCTTTCTAACCAAAGCTGGCGACGGAAATTGGAGATAAAAAGCTCCGCCCTTTTGTCCACATCATCATCTGCAGCATAACTTGTCACTCTTTGAAGAGCTCGAACCGACCCTCTTTCATTGGATTCTTCATTTTCAATGCAGCCATGCAAACCCAAACGATCATTAAAGCTCAAGCTAAGTCGCCGCCCGCCGGAAGCGCTTTGGAGGAAGCAAAAAAAGCGCCATTTGGCTCGGTTTAAGCGAAGCAGGGAGTTTATCTTCCTCACAGCTTTCTTGAGGCGGCCGACAACAGACCAGTTTTCTCTGCCCATTTTGTTGTTTCAACTTTCAATTCAAGTGAGAGTGCGTTGATGCAATAATATTAGAAACTGATCGGAGGTTTATGGTTTTGGAAATATGCAATAATATTGGCGGTAGAACCTGAGGATTCTGGAGCAAGATTCGATGTTTTTGGACTCGGAAGCTTGTCAGGAGGAATGATTAGAGTGTTAAGTTAACGCCCGCGACAACTTATATTTTTGTTGCAATTGCATGGAAGCGTCATTGTCAAGGATTACTATAATCATCAGACTGTAATTGGAGAATTGAAGGATTGATTAAGGCTTCATTTGCACCTCACTGGTGCTGCATTTTGGTGATTTTTTTTTTTAACAATTACGTGGTAATAATGTATTTGTATAACAGCTGCATTTTGCATGAATTTTTTTTATTTTGAACAACTACATCGTAATAATGCATTGGGATAACGGGTGAACGGTTTTGTGTTTGCACCCAGATAGTATCACCGTAGCGTAGCTCAAAATTTTCACCGGACGCAAGGGAGTCCAGTGGGATTTTCAATTCCCACAGAGCCTTTTTTTTTTTTAAATATGCCCGTCTTGATTTTTTTTTTTTTAACTTTTTTGCCTTTAATTTTTTTTTCAATCTTTTTAATTATTTGAAATATTATTATTTGTATTAATTATTAATTAGTAAAACTATTATTTGCAATTAAAATTTAATTATTCATTAATTTCATAAATATCAAATAATTTAAGAATTTCATTTTTTACAAAATTTAATTTAATATTTTAAATGATTTTTTTCTCATTAAATTTTATCTTATCGTCACTACCATTATTTTTCATTCAAATATATATCTAAAGTTAGAATAATCAATCTCATTATTAACTGATTTTACTTTTATCATTATTTTCATTCTCATATCCCATTAAAATGGTCTCATGACCTAATTGGAGTGTTGGTGCTCGTAATTGCAAGACTGTCCCTTTTGTTTAAAAGTGTTAATTAGCTCATTGCCCAAGGCTTGTGACCAAGTTTTGGCTTTTCGCTCGGTGAGAACGGAGACCTGAGACATTGCAAATTCGATTCGCTGAAGCAGAATCGAATGGCCAGGTATTCACATGCTCCATCAGTCCAATGGTTCCTTCAAAACACGCTCAAGAGGATATAGGGGTCAGTTCAACAGATATTTCGCTGAACTATATAAAGCCAAACTTAATTATACATTACCAAAGAAATACAATGTTAATTTATCTGCGAAGTTGAAGATATGCTTATGCCTATCACGCATAATCCTTGTCAGACTAATTCCAAAAGTATCAGTTAACGCAGAGATACAAAATTATTCAACAAAAAAGGAAACCTTAAAACTCACGAAAATGTGGACAGCAGCCAAGATGGCAAGCAGTTCTAAACTCAGGAATTTGCAGCCAGCTGTTCATGTAAGTCAACATGTGAAGTATCTTCCTCGATACTAGCACCAGTTACTTGGCTGGTTCTTCCATCCTCAATTCGTTTCTGTTTCCCTGACCAGCCATACATCTGTCTTCTGGCATCCCTTCGAGCTGCTCTCTCTGCTAGCTTCAGGTCTTTGAAACCTTGTTCAAACTTTGCTTCATCCTCAGGTGAAAAGAATGCTACCTCCATTTGCCCAAGCTCTTCATACATCTTCTCAATTTTAGCTTTCCAGAACAAGCCCATTTCTGTATCCATCTTGTGGTAGGGAGTTTTCAGCAGGTATTCATCAATTCCACCTGCCTTGTCAATGCAACGAAGGGCATGAGTGGTGACTTTAACTTGAATGTGGCGATCTAAGATATAACTAAAGAGCCGCTTCTGCTGGACATTAGGCTTCCAAGTCCTCCTCGACCTGTCACAACCGTTAAACAAGGTTAAAGTTTCCCAATTTATAGAAGGGAGCGCAACTTCATAATGAACACAAAAAAAAAAAAAAAGTCTCTATTTATATTGCAGTTGAGAAACTTTTAACGCAGGAAATTGAGCAAAGTAATAAGAAAGTTTGAGCAGAAAAACACAATTTAAGTTTAAACTTAGCCCAGTTTAATTAAATCCTTAATCCCAAGACTAGTGGTGGGCTACAAGAATCATTTCCTCCATTCTGCTTCATCATGGCCAATTATTGTCTTTGAAAATCTTACAATCCAAAATCTTGTAGAAGTTCTGATCCTTAGAAAGATTTTAAATTTTTCAACAAATGAAAGTTAACTTTGCCAAAACTAGACACTGAAAACACTGATTCAGCCAAACTCACACATATCAGAGTTCAATGTGCAAAAAAAGTAGAATTACTAAATTTGCAGCTGAGAACGAATGGATTACATGCTTACGAGGACATACATCTCAAAATAACATAACATGTGCTCAACAACAACAAACATTCCAAAATATTTTTTCGGAGTAGAGAGAACCACCAATAACAGAAAATCACATAGGCCTCTTAGTAGCCATAGTTATAGAGAGCATGATGACAATCCAATCAGTTGAATATGGTTTCAAGACAAACATCCAAACCCCCAAAATTGCTTCATTGAATGTAATTTCTAGTTATAAAACCGTTTAAGATCCCACGCTTGACTCTGACTCTGAGTTTCCTAAATGACATTGAATAATTTCTAGACTAATTTGCGGCAAATTCCTAAAGTAATCTCTTTATACCCTCACTAAGGGTAAACTCCAATTCACAACGATACTAGCAGACATTACAACCATTGAATAACAACAGCTAAATATTCAACCTCCAATTATCATACCATACCAAAGATCTCCTCATAGCAATAACTAAAACATCCAAGACAAAACAATAAGAATGGTAAAATCAATAATTTCAACAGAAATTTAATTTCGGAAGAAATTAAAAAAAAAAAAAGTAAAGTTTTACGTAACAGAAAGGAAAGAAGCAAAGATAGAAAAGAATACTTGTTTCCACCGTCTTCGCTGATGCGGTTGCCGAACTGGATGTGTCGGCCAGCGTAAAGGCCGCGTTTGGCGCGGCCCATGACGACCTTGCTGTCTGGAATGCATTTTTTGAGCTGCTCCTTCACTCCAGGCGCCATGTTGCTCTCTCCCACCTTCTTCATCAGCTTCTTCATCATCTCCTTCCCTCTGAACGCCATCTTTTCCTTTTCCTTTCCCTTGCTGTGGAAATAGAACACAAAACCTCTGATATAATAAAAAATAATTTTACAGAATTGAAAAACCCCTAGATCTGTTTTTCTGCGCATGCCATATGTTCATTTTCGGAAGACGCTTTTTAGGTTTGGACTTCCTCTGCGATTAAGGCCCATACGGTCGGTTTGGAAGGAAGTCATTGGTCAGTCAGCGATTGACATTTCCTTGGGCCAATGGTACTGCATCTTTCTGGGCCATTTTGACATATTTCTAAGGCCCACATTAGCAGATGCTGTTATTTTCAACATTCCGAGTTTCTGACCACAAAAAAAAAAAAAAAATCTCAAATAAAAAAATCCGACTTAAAACATATTTGAATAATATAATGATCCCTTTCCCCCTTTATATATGGTAGTATTTTGGCCTCCATTTTGATAGTTATATTACATCTTAAAAAATAAAAGAGAGATATTTGGATAACATTTTATTTACTTTAATAAGGTAATTGCCAATAATTCTCATAGCCTATATTGCATTTGAAACTTTAGTTTGCTTCCTTTTTTTTTTCCCCTCATACTCAATAAAAATTAATACTACTTATCTTTTCTCGGTTTTCTTTTATTTTTTTTATTTATATTTTTTGGGGTCTCCCTAGTTATCATGCTAAAATTTGGAAACTTGAAACAAAACAGTCTTTGATACGACTTTGTGGTGAGTGGGTTGATTAAACAAGAATAGAAGTCAAAAAGACGGTTCTACTTTGAGGCTCTTGTCCTATGCTAAAATGTTGTTTACTTGATGTGAAAGTGATTACCCAAAAAGCAAACCTTCCTCTGGCAGCAAGCAATTAACAAGCGGATGTCTAGTCTGCCAATTTTGAAGGTGGCCATCATCATGGCCCATTACAAAAGGCCCCTTTATTTTTTTAATTGGAAGCTTGTAAATAAAAAAAAACCATTTCTATGAATTGTTTATTAATATATTTAATTTTTGTTAGAACATATTTACTAATTTTAATAAATAATTTTAAATATTATTTTTATGTTTTTTATTAAATAAATTAAATATAAATATTTATTTAATTTATTTATATTTAATTTAAAATTCATTTAAGACTCATTTAATTTAAAATTCATTTATATTCATTTAATGTTCATTCATATTTATTTATTATTCAATAATAATAATAATAATAAATTTATATTTTTTTATCTTTATCTTTATCTTAATCTTAGTTTAGGTTCATTTATATTCATTTATAATTTATTTGTTTATTATATTAAATTTGTTTAGTAATAATTTATTCATTATTCATAACATGTTCATTTGTTATGTATGTATTTATGAATATGTTTATTTAACATTCATAAATTAATTCATTTAATTTAATTAAGTTAACACAATTCGAACATAAATATCTTAACATTAAAACAAATTAAACTCAAACGAATAAGATAATTTTTTTACCTAAATTGAATCAAACCTAAACAATTCTAAAAATAAATGAATAAATTACAAACATGCATTAAGTTACATACTCAATTTGTTTACATCCTAACTTCCTTCACACAAATAGCCACATAATAAAATATAAAGACCTTTAAATGATGCTACGTAGTATATAGTCTATAGTTTATAATATCATATAATAATTGTTTAGTTAATTATAATATTGAAAAGTATGATATTATAATAATATTTAAATTATATAAGATATAATATAATATTTTTTTAATTAATAAAATTATATATATATAAAAACATCTCTATAATAATTTTTCAATTTAATAAATACAGAAAATTTTAAACTGTTCGTGCATTTCCAGATTTAACGAGATTTTAGTTTTCAGTTTCACACATGCCAAAATCTAAGGCTTGAAAATGAACATAAATCAAATAAATGCGGAGAAGCACTGAATAAGATTGGGTAGCGAGCGCATATGTCAATTAATGTGCTAGTTGGAATATGTATTTCGTGATACAAAGTCATCCCACAAATCATTCTTTATCACACTCAGAAATTATTATTTGTCAATCATGCCCAATTGCCCATAAATGTTAAAACTCCACTATGTATAATAGCATTGTCAAAGATATGCTTGTAGCAAAAACGTTTGCATTATTTGTAAAATTTTCAATTTTTATTAAGTTTTGGGTCTTTTTTATAAAATAGATATATATTTATATACAAAGGAAAACGTGCGACATGTTGGTTTCAGTTGGAATTATTCTTTTGTAAAATCATATTCAAGATTCTTTTGCTTATAGTCTCTTCACCATCCTCAATTGAACAAGTAAATATTTGGCTAAAAAACGATGAATATACTGCTTCAAAGCTTAGTGCAAAAGGTTAGGTCATAAATCCCATTCAATATTGCTATTGCTCATGTTTTTTTATCTTCTTAATAATTGCATATTCTATCGGCAATTTTCATCAGTAAGGCAACATTTGTGTTCATAAAGAGCAAAAACGACCATAATTCATCTCCTGCTGCTCACGCTTTCTATTTGAAGAAGTAGCAGCACGTGGGGGGGGGGGGGGGTTAATGAATTCCAATTTTGGGGTAAATGCATATATATATATATACACGTGTCAGTTGATCCAAAGAAGCAGCTAAAGTTGATAATTAGGTTTCATTTATTAGATTCACGAGATTCATCCTATAATTAATCATACTGCTTGATATCAGGCTTTGATTAATCATTCTCACCCACCAATAGAAGTAGTGTAGTAAGCGGTACGTAAGTTATTTTTGGATATTTAATTTTTTATATTTTGATAAACATTTATTCTAATTTAGCTTCTAAAGTAAATCATTCACCAAACGCTTAAGCAATAATAGCATCACGTTCACACCACTCTCACCAACAAATTGCTTAAACTTGCACTTGTTCTTGCAAATGAACGCCCGTCGAAGACCGGAAAAAAAAGGCGGATGGGGTAATTATTACTGTTAATGATAATTATTAAGGGATTCGACGTGGCCGTTTCACTAAAGCCAAAATGAAGCATGATCCTATCCAAGTATCCAACCACCACCAGCTCGGCCCTACAACCTCTATCAATTATTTAAGTCCACGTCACTGTTAGGCCGACTATTTCACTGTATAGAATCCAACTTTTTCTGATTTTCTCTTTCTTCAAACCCCAATCCTTCTAGCCTGCCAACCCATATCACTATTTTTAGATCTACCCCATCAACCGCATTATTATATCAGCCAGAACCGCACAGTTACCATAAAATCTCTCAACCAAGTATTATTATTATATTATAAAAAGAAAAGGGGAAGCGGAATCGGAATCGGAGGCCAATTAGATTTCGTCAAAGCTCCGGTCGCCGGCTGCACGTGCTGGTCGCCTAGTTCATGTTACGTCATTTGTAGCTGAGTCCGGTGTGAATTTTCAATTTTGTAATTATTTTCTTTTGTTTAATCGAACTAGTCCTTTGGATTTTCAGATTTGCCGGGTTTTTGGTGCGTCACTCAATTTACGGTTCTCCTAATATCCCCATTTATAGAAGCTAGAATCGGAACACGCTAACGCTAAAACAAAAACAATCCGGGAAACATTGAAATAGTCAAAACACTTTGACCACCGAACCATTTCTTGCTAGGTCGCTCTGTAAAGTTAGCTTCGCCTACTCACCACTTTTCCTCTTTTTCTGTAGAGGAATCTAATCCTATATCTATGCAGTGAAACCATGCTGTGACAAAATTCCTCCACTTATCTTCTACTTATTTTTGGTCTACGCCAACAGCTTCAAACATTAATGGCGGTTTCCAAGTCTTCCTCGAGTAAACAACAAGACAACTATGATCAAGATAATCACAAGAAATCGGAGCCGTTGATTCCGGGGCTACCAGACGAGATCGCTGAGCTTTGTCTTCTTTATCTTCCATATCCATACCAATCGCTGGTACGTTCAGTGTCTTGCTCATGGAACAGAGCCATAACAGACCCTGGCTTCCTTCTCTCCAAGAGATCCTTAGCGCTTTCGCTACCTTACCTGTTCGTTTTCGCTTTCCATAAATCAACAGCCAGGATACAATGGCAAGCTTTGGACCCGCGATCAGGCCGTTGGTTTAAATTACCTTCCATGCCCTGTCCCAAGGCCGTGTGCCCACCTGGGTTTGCTTGTACTTCGATTCCACGTCAAGGCCAGCTCTACGTTTTGGGTGGTATGCGCTCGGACACAGAAACTTCCATGCAGTCAACAATCGTCTACACTGCATCCACAAATCAATGGTCCATAGCTTCTTCAATGATAACCCCACGATCATTTTTCGCCGCCGGGAATTTTAACGGTAAGGTCATCGCCGTCGGTGGAAGTGGGACCGGGTATAATGATTCCATCACCTCCGTAGAATGCTATGATCCACAGAAGGACACGTGGGACTTCGTCGCTAAAATGAGTATGGGGTTGGCCAGGTACGATTCAGCTGTGGTAGGGAGCAAGATGTACGTGACAGAGGGGTGGACGTGGCCTTTCATGTTTTCGCCGAGAGGAGGGGTCTACGACCCGGAGAATGACACGTGGCAGGAAATGAAGGACGGGATGAAGGAAGGTTGGACCGGGGTCAGCGTGGTTGTGGGTGACAGGTTGTTCGTCATTTCAGAACACGGTGACTGCCCGATGAAGGTATACATCGCTGATCATGACGCGTGGCAGTATGTGGGAGGTGATAGATTCCCACGTGAGGCAATGCGGAGGCCTTTTGCTGTGAATGGAGTGGAAGGGAAAATCTACGTGGTCTCAAGTGGGCTAAACGTGGCAATAGGGACGGTATTTGAGGGACAAAACGGGGAGTTTTCCGCAGAGTGGGAGGTTGTGGCTGCCCCAAAGGCTTTTCACGACTTTTCTCCTTCTAATTGCCAAGTGCTTTATGCCTAAAAATCTCTCTCACGTACTAACTCTTACTAGTATAGTATATAATATCATCATAATTCATATTTCATAATTGTAATTGTAAGACCAGGGTGGAGCTTTACTCTTTTGATTTCAGGTTCTCTATATTATGTGGTGTAATTAAGTCGTCGTGTATTTTGTTTTGCTGGGCACTTAGCCAATTTTTAGATAGAGTGCGTGTAGGGATATGATTTACAGCTGGTTTGTCCTCTATGCAGTGACAGATTGGCAGTGCTAGGAAATTTTTGTTTTCTTTTTGAAAATGAAGGACATTTGTTGTTGGCACTTGGCATGGCGATAAAATTAACTGATTAACGGATATGGGAACCACGGTCATATTTTCTTAATTAAATTGACTGGTCTGCTCCTATCTTATTAAACAAATTTGTTTACCTCAATCTCGTGTAATTATGGAATTGTGTAAGAGTGTTTAAATTTTGATTTTAGCTAAATTAATAGATTTAATCAATTTAATTTAACTAATCCTTCGTTCATCAAATGATTATAAACAATTATCTAAAACAATTTTGATTCCACCACATGTATATCGCTCCAGGCATAATCAAGACAGACATTATTTTTGTGAAATGCATCATTGAATGCCGCAGGGTGCAGGCAAACTAGATAGTACTCTGAGTTAGGATCGAAGCAAGCGAAGTGGTCTGTTTCAATGCTAAATAATTATTTTGGACTCGAAAATCTTAAATTTTCAAAATAAACAAAATGTGGAAGGATATTATTAGGGTCATTTGATGGATAAAAAGATATAGTAGGTTTTTTTTTCAAAGCTTTCAACAAATAATTAAAGGTATTTTTATTATTTGTATTGATCTGACATATCAGATCAATCTAATATAATCAGTGTCATCTCAACTTGATCATGCCTTAATTGTTTCTTTATAGTCCCTTTCAACTTATTTATAAATGTAAACACTCAGACATCATGAAACTAGATTCATCCTACTTACTTTTTTCTCTCTCTTTTTTTTATTTTTTTATTTTCTTTTTTACTTGATCTTTATTGACTTGCACGTCGAAGTGCAAACGCAGGGAATATTCATTGTTTGGCCTCTAATCATCCTTTTATTTTTATTTACAAGAATACCCTTAGGTTGAAGCTTGGCACCAATATTTGAGGCGCTAAGTAGGGGACATCTCGTATTAGCTAAGCATAAAACAATGCCACCCAGAAAAAGATTCCAATAAGAAGGAGAGGTAGTTGCCCCAGCTGGAATAGAAACTCATTTTAACCAGCATTCTGTCCATTCAGCTCAACCACAGGTGAGACCAACCATGAAACAATTTCAAGCCCTAACAGAACAAATACAAGCTCTTAAGTAGATGCTGCAAATTATAACCTCACCATAAATCTCAAAAGTATAAGACTTAATCACACATGATCGAGAAGCCACTATCGGACAACTAAGCTAAGAAGAGTCAGAAGCCTCTTCATCCTTTAGGGAAGAAGAACACACAAACCCAACTCATCTCCACCCCGACCATAATTTCACACATATCACAACCTAAAAATCCAAACAAACAGACCACAAACTCTAACCGAATAGAGATTTGAAGCTCAAATGTAAGCAATGAAAAAAGTGCTAAAAATGAAAGCAGTAGCATTTAAGGATAAGCTCAAGTTCCTAAAGACCTTATGCTTTACTAAAGAAATTGACAAAGCCATGCCTCCTAAAGGATTTAAAATGCCAACCTTAGAGACATATGATGGTTCTTCTGACCTCTTTAATCATTTAAAATTTTATAAAACTAACATGATAATATAAGAAGCAGATGAGGCTCTAATGTGCAAAGGTCTAGTCACCATATTGAAAGGCGTAGCTCGATCTTGGTACAAGAGTCTGAAGCCAAGGTCAATTACTACATTTAAGAAGTTTAGCTACTCGTTCTTATCCAAATTTGTGAGTAACCAAAGAGCTAAGAAAAAGACCCTGAGCTTGATATCAATTAACCAAGGGCAAAAAAACTTTGAAAAGCTATGTCATGCGTTTTAACGTGAAAACCCTACAAGTTAAAAACATGAAATAGATGATTGTTGTTGCCATACTGACTAGTAGACTCAACGATAAAAAGTATAACTTAAAGCTAACATTGTCACTATAACCACTCAATACTCTGGTTAACATCCTATTAATAGCAAAAAAATACATTAATGTTGAAACTATAATAAAAACAAACTAAGGTGAAAGAGGCTCATCCTCTCTTTTCGACGGTCGAGGTAAGAGAGCTCATTTCCCCTTATCGATAATAAAAAGGTAAAAAAATTTTATAATCTTCCCCCAAAAGGGAGACAACATAAGGCTAGAAGCTTTAGTGTGAAAAAAAACTACATTGTACTGAATACCTTATATGAGAGAAATTTGATGTAAATTGAAAAAAATCCCAACTTAAATGGCTTAAGCCATTGAGACAAAATGCAAGGATGAATTCGATAAAAAAATGTCTATTATAGGGACATCGATCATAATATAGAAGATTATACTGACCTAAAAAATAAGATTGAAGCTCTGATAAAACGAGACCAATTGAAGAGATTTATGGGGTAAAGAAAACAAGACTAATTTAGAATAGACTATAGACAATACCATAGATCGCCCACCCAAGGTAGAGAGGGAAAAGCAGAGTAGAGAAAAAAAGATGCCTGAGAAGAAGAGTTGAATCAAGAAAAGGGCCAAGCTGACAATATTAAGCCAATTGTCAAGGTGATTAACGTGATTACAAGAGATAGTTCGACCTCGACGAAAAGAAAATTTAACCTGAGCATGGTAATAGTAGTAGGCACATTGGCCAAAAAATAAAAAGACTGGAGAGATGAGCCAATTTCATTCAACTCAAAAGATCTAAAGGGAATCCAACACCCACATGATAATGCCATAATAATCTCAACCTTGGTGTATAACTATGTGGTCAAAAAAATCTTATTTGATAATGAGAGTTCGACCGACATCATGTATTACGGTTGTTTAAAAAAAATAAAGATTGACGAAGATCAATTAAAGCCCGTCACCACTACATTAATGGGGTTTGAGAATGAATAGGTGCCCGTAAAAGGAACTATCAAGCTTTCGATCTCTTTAGGGATTGAACCAAAGACAATCATCTTGGTCGTAAAATTCATAGTAGTGGACGTCCTATCTACCTATAATATGATATTAGGTCGACCTAGCTAGTCTGTTATGTGACTTATAGGTTCAGCTCCCTATTTGAAAGTAAAATTCTTAAACCTAAAGAGGTTAGGAAAGTTTGAGAAAATTAGTCCATGGCATGACAATGTTATGTCATAACAATGAAGGGTAGGACTAAAAAGTAGATAGGCAGCTCGATCAATATCAAAGTTGAAAGTAAAGAAAAACCAATACAAAGAACTAACAAAAAATAAAAAACCACTAACAAAAGCACAGATAATAAGATCAACATAAGACAAGCGTGCTTTTAAGTTTTCTTGAGCTCTTACAAACTTTAATTTTGTTTTATTTCTTGAATTTTTTGAGACAACATTAGAAACAATCGAGCTCTTAAATCGTTGTGAACAGTTTGATATTACTTGGACCAAGCTTACACACCGATCAAAACACAACATGAAATGAAGAATATATTTCACTTTTACTAATATGTTCAACAAGTTTTTCAATTACCAACAATCACGCCAGGATTTATTTTTACAAAAAATGATCCTAACCTAATCAAATAAAAAGAAATAATTGATCAAATATCACACTCGGACATAAATCAACCTAAGTCGACTGACGACCTCATGACAATTTTGTTCTGGAACAACATTCCTAAAAAATACATGTAGATCGAAGCCAAATTTCAACATAAAGACCAATTGATTCAACTCATAAAAGATAATGCCAACATGTTTGCTTCGAAACCATCCTATATGCTCAAAATTGATACTAATGTGATGGTCCATATACTACACACTAATCTCGAGATAAAATTAATTCGTAAAAAAAACCTTTGAAATACACTAAGCCATTAAAGAAGAAGTTGACAAATTATTACGAATTGACTTTATCAAGGAGATTTATTACCTCAAGTGGATAGCCAATATGGTCACGATTAAAAAACACAGTAAAAAATAAAAAATATGTGTGAACTTTACCAACTTGAATAAAATTTATCTAAAAGATAATTTTTTTTCTCTCTAGTATAGATTGACTAATAAATGATAGTGCCAAGCATGGCTTCTTTATTTTTATGGATGCTTATTTTGGCTATAATCATATTAAAATATTGAACGAAGATAAAGACAAAATAGCTTTTATTATTGAGAAATGCCTTTACTGTTACAATGTCATACCTTTCGAATTGAAGAATATAGGGATAACCTACCAAAGATTGGTGAGTAGGGTGTTTAAAGATCAGATCAATCATAATATAGAGGTATATATAGACAATATGATAGTTAAGAGTAAGAGTTTGATTGAGCATCTGAAAAAGCTTAAAGAAACATTCAACACTTGGAGAAAGTATAATATAAGACTTAACCTAAGCAAATACGTTTTTAGGGTTACATCAGACAAGTTTTTCAGTTACATGATTAACCAAAAAGGAATAAAAATGAACCTTAAAAAAGTTTAAGTAATCCTAAAAATGAAAGCGTCAACCTTGGTAAAGAAAGTACAAAAGTTAATAGATAAAATAGTCGCGCTTAATTGATTCATGTTCAAATCGACAGAATGATGTCTATTGTTTTTCAAAATTTTCAAGAATGTCTCAACTTTAGGTGAACTCCCTAATACCAAAAAGCTTTTGATGAACTCAAAGAGTTTTTATCCTTCTCGCCTGTCCTATCTAAACCAAAGACTAGTGAAATAATGTACTTACACTTGATCAACATAAATTAGGATGTTAGCTCAGTCCTGATCAGAGAACAAAAAAAAAACAATAATCGATCTATTTTATAAGCAAAGTATTAACAGGGCCTGAAGTTAATTATAGCGGCATAGAAAAATTAGGCTACGTCATTGTTATCTCGATCAAGAAACTCAGACTGTTCTTTCAAGCCCACATGATTTATGTCCTGACCGATTAGCAACTGAGGTAATTTTTACAAAAGCCTAAAATGTTGAAAAGGCTACTCAAATGGGCAGTTAAGCTCAACAAATTCAATATGCACATTTTACACAGATCGACATTAAAATCACAAGTACTGGTAAACTTCATCATAAAGCATATCTCGGTATAATTAGAAAGATAGTATAAAAAAATTAAATAAATCCTGGATAA